AATCATTTATCAACTCAAAGAGTTGTTTGTAGAAGCTTTAGGCTGATCGATATATAGGATCATGTCATCTGCAAAGAGGGACAGTTTGACTTCATCTTTTCCAATCTGGATGCCCTTTATTTCCTTCTTTCCTCTGATTTCTCTGAGGAATAGGAGTGGTGAATAGGAGTGGTGAGAGTGGGCATCCTTGTCTAGTTCCCTTTCCTAAGGGAAAAGCAGTCAGCTTTCCCCCATTCAGGAGGATATTGGCAATGGGTTTATCATATATGGTTTTTATTATGTTGAGATACTCTCTATGTATACATAACTTGTAGAGAGTCCTTATCATGATCATGTGCTGAATTTTGTCAAATGCTTTTTCAGTATCTATAGAAATGATCATATGGTCCTTGTGTTTGATTTTATTGATGTGGTGTATCACATTTATTGATTTGTGTATGTTGAACCAACTTGAATCCCTGGGATGAATCGACTTGATTGTGATGAATAATTTTATGTATGTGTTGTTGCATTCTGTTAGCTAGTATTTTATTGAGGATTTTTGCGTCTATATTCATCAAGGATATTGGCCTGTAGCGAGATACTTTCTATCTATACCTAACTTGTAGAGAGTCGTTATCATGAACGAGTGTTGAATTTTATCAAATGCTTTTTCAGCATCTACGGAGATGATCATATGGTCCTTGTGTTTGATTTTATTGATATGGTATATCACATTTATTGATTTGTGTATGTTGAACCAACCTTGTGTCCCTGGGATGAAGATATCTTGTAAACTGTTAATCAAATGAGGTTTAGGAGTCATCATTTTATAGATAATGGTGCAAACAGTGAAAATAGATGAGTTCACTCAAAATGTAATGGCGGGTAAGGAAGACCAATAGAGGAAATATTCCCTGGAAGCACCAGCATTTATGGGTGGGTGAAAAGGAAGAAGATTCAGAGAGTGCAGCTTCTAAGGAAATGTCAGAAAGATAAGAGAGCACCCAGAAGAATATGATGCTATATAAGCCAAAAGAAGACATGATTTTGAGAAGTAAATGGCCAGTGATGTGAAATGTACTATCGAGCTTTTAAGAGATTAGGACCGAAAAGCACTCAGTGGATCTGTCAATTAAAATACCATTGATGACCATTATCAGAATAACTTTTTAATAAAGAAATGAAGGCGGAAATCAGATTGTGTCACACTGAAGAGTTAATGGAAGGCAGGTCAATGGAGAAAGCGAGTGTCGACAGTTCTTTTGAAGTCTTCGTAAGAATCCTAGGTCCTTGTGAGAGGAGTAATAGGGAGTAGGTAGGACAGAGGACCAAGGAGAGCAGCATGCATTTGAAAAAGTTGCTGAGAAAGGGAAAGGAGCTAACCAAGCGCTAGGGAAAGGATTGACAAGTGGCATTGAAAGCTTTTTTTTTTTTTAGATTAAAATCCAGAACATTTTAGTGGCAACATCTGTACTTTTGTTCTGTTTTGTTTTGTTTTCCTGTCAAGGGATGAGTTGTAGAATTGGCCCAGGGTTAGATGGAGTTTTAGGGCAGTTATAGTGAAAGAAGAGGATTCCGAGGAGTTGAGGTTTCTAGTGAAAGAGTAGCTGAGGGGATCAGCCATGCAATCCATGCTGTGGGCCCTAAGAGGGACCTGATCTACCAGGAGAAAATGAAGGGATTATCGAGTTAAAGTTGAATAGCAGGTAAAATGGAAACGAGGGTATGAGAGAGTTAGAAGAAGAAAAGTTTTGGTCTCAGAATATGACATTAGAATTTAAAATTTTGGAGGTTGGAAAACAGGATTTAACTTGGCAGCAGGTTACATTTTTTAATTTGCAGTGGTTTAAAGAGGTGCTTATTTTCCTACTAGAGCATGAAGTCTGAAGGCAGGCAGTTGCTGGTGTTGGCCAGTGGTTCATCAGTATTTAGACCAGCATCTCTCTGATTCTCAATCATTCCCTCTCAATAGCAAGATGACACCTGCAGCTTCAGGTACCACATTCACATCAGGAAAGAGGGGAAGGGGGAGAAAGGGGAAGCACCAGCCTCAGCTCTCTCATTATATCAGGAAAAACAAAAGCCTTTCCAGAAGCCACAGAAAACTCTGCTTAGGGGGTCACTGGCCAGACTGTGACACATGGCCATCTCTGGCTACAAACAGTGCTGGGAATGCAAACATTTAGCTTTCTAGAGTCTGTAACAGAATGAACAGAGCAGATGAGAATTGGAAATATCTGTTGGTTCACCAAAAAAGCAGTGTCTGCTCCGAATACCAACGTTCAGCTTCCTTATATAGGCCAGTAGTTTAGTACAGAAAAACACATTTACCTTGCCACAGACAGTTAGCTAAGAATCTTAAAGATACATGCGTCTATGCAGTGTTCATAAGAGGAGCAAGGATATTATGAATGGTCCAATGTCACCCATCCCAGTATTAGAAAAACAGCTCAAAGCACATGTCTTAAAGAAGTGATCAAGTACTAATATTTTTAAAACCCAATGCATGTGAGCTCTGCTGATATGAAGAGCAATCCTGAGATAAATATACAACCACGTAGCCTCTAAAAATGCGTGTGCAAATGCATGTGTGTGTGTGTATCCAGTGCCTTCCTGCCTTGACTGTAATGTCCAAGCAGATTCTGTCAGCGTTGCATTTTTGTAGATTTCCATTTGACATTTAAGAGCTAGTTAATTGTTTTGTGTTGTCTTTGTTTGCCACACTCAGCATTTCTTTGCTCAATATATTCCTTCTTGTTAAGAAAAATTTAAAAATTTCAGTGAGCCCTCAGAAAATCATAAGCCAGCTTTTCAGGAGAGCTCTGGGCATAATTTTCTGTGTTGCTTTAATAAAATGTTTTTGCTGTAGATTACAGTCAAGTGAAATGCATGGTATGCTGCTGTTCAAAACTGCTCTTCCCTCGCTCATTGCGGGTTTTATCTTGACAGCTGATCTTGCCGTTGACTTACTCTACTTGCGTGTTTTGGGTTTTTTTTAATTTGTAGTTTGGCAGTGGTCAATTGCCACATGATGAAATTGTGTATTTCTAAATAGGAAAGGGGAACTTTTTAGTTTCTTCATGGGATTTGTCTAGAATGGCTTTAATAGAATTTGGCCAATTGATATAGCTGTGGACCTCAGATGGTAAGTGAGACTTCAGGGTCCAATTTCTGCCTCTTCTCATTGATCCATAGTGTATTAGTCCCTTTCTGTTGCTTGTAACATAAATACCTGGAACTGGGTAATTTATAAGAAAACAAAATTTATTGCTTACAGTTTCAGGGGCTGGGAAGTTCAAAGTCCAGAGAACAGATCTGCATCTGGTGAGAGCCTTGATGGTGGTGACAGTGACACAGGGGTCTCACATGGCAGAATGGCAGAGAAGAGAGCGAGATAGCTCCTCATGCTCTCTCCATTTAAAGCCCTTAGAATCTCACCCATGACCACTACTGTACCATCACCTTAATCAGTTCTTCAAGGCCACACCTTTCAATTATCGTAATAGGATTTCCCACCCTCAACAGTTAGAGAGTGGATTTAGCTTCAATAAGTTTTTTTTGTGGGGGAGGACATTCAATCCACTGCACATAGAAAGCTCTCCATGCCACAGTCAGTGTAACAGAACAGAGGAATCCAGGGGCTGAAAAGCCCTAAAATGCTTTGAAATATTATAAGAGTGTTACTTAAAGTTGCTGTCATCTAGCCTGCCACACGAAAACATTTTCAAGGCAGCGATCTTGCCTTGTGATCAAACACAAATAATGTTAACATTAGAGAGGGGATCAAGAGTCATGCACGCAGGCTCCAGCAGATCAAGTTAGAGAACATCCAGAATGATGCCAAGGTGGGTGACAATTTAAAGCCTATTATGACCATATTCCCTTCCTCCGTACACATCAGTTCCCTTGAACAACATTCTTTTTTTGCTTGCCATCTTATTTTAATTTATTAGAGTCTGTTTCCACAGGGGAGAGTTTAGCCTTATAAGTTGTTAGTCTGGACTGTCTATCTGGGCCTTTCTCTGGGCTTGGCAAAGGCTAGAAATAGATACAGCACTAACAGGTCATAACTATAGACATTGCTGCAGCCAGAGGTTGACTCCCCACCCTGGAAGGTAAGCTGCTTCCTAAGTTGGTCGGTGATGCCTACCAAATCTCATGTGCCCTAAGTCCAGGGAGCCCTTCTTCCAAAAGACTCTGTATTCTCTAATAGAGAGAAGGATTTTCAGACAGAAAAGTGAAAAATACAGATAAATGGAAATTGAACTTCAAGATGGATGGAATCATTTTGTAAGTACCTGGACAAATCACATGCTAAAGAATAATAATAATTGCTTGTGTTTCTATTTAAATTAATATTGGGTAAGTTTTTTATGCTGTTGTTATGTTTACCTACATTAATTTATTCAACCCCGTGATATAGGTACTATTATCCCCATTTTACAGAAAAAGAAACTAAGGCAGAGAGAATTTAAATAATTAGCTCTTGGTCACATAAAGTAAATGGTGGAGACAAAACTCAAAGCCAAACTTTGAGGCTCTAGAGAACTAAGACTTTTTGAATGAGATTGCCAAATTATTGATGGAATTATGGGGAACTAAAAATACAACAGAAGTCTAGAGGTAAATAAATGTAGTTCACATTTTTGCTATTCAATATTTTTGTGAAGAAAATGTCCAAGTGCTGTTAAATATTTTCATAAATTATTTTGGAAAGATATAGAAGGTTTTATTAAATTTTCTGAAAAGAACTTTAAGGCTTGTTGGCTGTTAGCTATGAATGAGTTAAAGTGGAATGCAGCACACTACCACTTCTACCCTCTGGATTCTAGGCCTCAGTGCAAGCAACATGGCATCTAATCTAAAAAAGGGAATTGATAGTTCTCTCTAGACAGGTCCGTAGTATTTACTCTGCTTGGTCCTGAGTCCCACATTTCAAAAGACATATAGAAAAACTGGAATGTTTTGGCTGGTAAATTTTGAGAATTGTAAAATGACTTAATCCAATTATTTGAAGAATGGTTGAAGAACAGGGGACAGTTAGCTTCAAAAGGGAAGACTTTAAGGAAGCCAAAAAAGGTATCTTCAGTACTTGAAGTACTGACACATATGAGAATGATTGCAATGTTAGGTAGAATCAGAGACAGTGATTAAAAGTTAATAAGACAGATATTGACTTGATGTAAGACGGTCAAATCTTTCAGAGATGGGATAGGCTGCCTCTAAAGGTATTGAGTTTCCTTTCACAAACATTTCTGTGAGTGTACAACCAGAAGCTGAACAGCCAGTGGAAGATGTGCAAAAACATAGACCCAGTGGTTGGGCCACATGACTGTTAAGGCCACACCCAATGCCAACGTTCTGTTTCCATCGTTCTATGAATTGACTCAAGACAATCAGCTGAGCTTCTAAAATAGTCTATCATATCTTGTAATTCTAATGCTGCCACCACTAGCAGTAGACAATTGGTGAAAACAAGATGAACAAAGTAATGTCATTTCAAAAAAATTTGTAGGCATCTAATGAAATGATTGGTGTTTTATCCTCACCCCTTCTTTCAGTGCTTTCTCCTGCTCAAGATAGCCACATGAACATGGATCTTCCCCCAGTGTCAGAGCAGATCATGCAGACTCTGAGCGAACTTGCCAAATCGTTCCAGGACATGGCCGACCGCTGCTTGCTGGTCTTACATCTGGAAGTGAGGTATGATGCAGCCAAGCATGGGACTTTGCAGTTGGAATGCACGTGGCTCATTAAGCACTTGTTTATTTCTGGGGAGTATCATCATAATTTTTCGTTCTTATTATTGTTGTCCATTTTTTACACTGAAGGTGGTTTTTAGTGTTATTCAGTAACTCTTACAGTATTTAAACACATGCTGTGTTGTGAGTATAGTGATTCAGAATTGGCATGGCCTGTGAAATCACAATGGCCTGGATTGGAATATGTATACCAACCAGCTAGGTGATCTTCGGTCAATTAATTAACTTTATAAACCCTCATTTTCCTCATCTTAGAAGTGGAAATGGTAATTCCTAACTTATAGAGATGTTGTAAATGAAATAATAATTAGCACAATGCCAGCTCAAAGTAGCTTTACAATTATGGTGACTTCATTGTCATTGATATTTTCACTAAGGTACTCTTCTAGTCAAGAAGGCAATATACAGATACAAGAACCATGAATCCTTCCTTTAAGGAACTTAAAACCCAAATGAAGAGATTAAGAAATAATTCAAGAAAGTAGTTTCAAAGATGCTGTATTCTTGGACTCTTATTTCTTCTCTCACAGGGTAGAATGTTTTGATTAGCTTTAGTAGCCTCTTTAATTCTACATATGGAAATGGTAGGAAAAAAGGACTAAGAAGTCTTCAGCTGTTTGTTCATTCATTCAACAAATACTTATTGAGTGCCTTCTTTGTGCCAGACAGCATTCTAAAAATTGGGATACAGCAATGAACAAAACATTCAAGGTCCCTGCCATCATGGAACTACATTCTAATGGAGGCAAACAGCCAATGAGTAAACAAAAAAAGATAATTTTAGCAACTAAAATAATAAAATAGCATAATGGGATCAAGCAGGGCTATTCAGTAGAAGATAATGTGAGCTACAAATGCAAGCTGCATAGATAAATTTAAAATTTCTAATAGTCACATTTGAAAAAGTAAACAGAAACAAGTAAAATGAATTATTTAACCCAATATATCCAAAATATTATCATTTTAATGCATAATTAACATAAAAGACAGATATTTTGCATATTTTTGTACTAAGACTTCGAAATCTGCATATTTTACAAGTATACACATCACAATTTGGACTACTCACATTTCAAGTGCTTAGTGGCTGCTGCTGTCATACAAGACAGTACAGAGAGTGGCTCAGGTTAACTCAGAAGGGGGATTTTTCTTTTTTGTATAGTCAGAGGAAATGTGATGAAGTAACGAGAAGAAGCCATCTGTACAGAAACCTAGAGGAAGAGAGTTTCAGACAGAGGGAGCAACACTCACAAAGGTCCTGAGACAAAATCGAGCTTGGCAGTTTTAGGAGCCTGATATGATTGTAGCCTGGTGTACAAGGCAGGTAGGGAGGACTGGAAGAGTAACAAGAAACAGAAACAAAATCCACAAGAAACAGGCTGGAGCACGATCTCGTGGGCTCTTGAAGCCTGACACATTGTAGGGCCTTAGAGACCAAGTGGATAGTTCAGATTTTCTTCTAAGTGCGTTAAGAAGCCATAGAAGGGTTTTAAGCAAGGGAGAGACATAAATTAATTAACATTTTTTAAAGATCGCTCTGGCTGTTGTATGGAAAGGGATTGCAGGGAGAAATATGAATGGAAGTAGAATGACCAGTTAAGACCAGTTATGAGCACCACGGTGACAGAGGTGGAGGTGTAAGAAGTGTTGGATTTGGGACATTTACTAAAAGTAGAGCTGATAGAATATTTTGATAGACTGGATTGGACACGGGCTGGTAGCAGTGAGAGAAAGAAGGGACTCAAGGAATCCCACTAGTTTTGGGGCTAGAACAACTGTGTTCATTTAATCTGTGTTCATTTAATGGCTGCCATTAAATGAAACAAGAAAGACTGAGAGGAGAAAGGTTGGGGGAGGGGTCGAAATCCAGAATTCTGTTTTCAAGATGTTCAGTTTGAGACGCTTATTAAACATCTAGGTAGCAATGACAAATAGACAGTTGGACATATACTTTTGAAACTTCAGGATTAGAAACCTCAGGATCAGAAAGTGTTTGGTATGGTAATACATTTTCTTCTGTATTACTTTGGAACATTATTAAACTTGATAGAATATTCTATTTTCATTTGAATTCTTTACTAGATTTAGATTTTAAAATGTAAATAGGACTTTGATTCATAGCTAAGCCTTTGGAATATGTTTGGACTCCAGTTAGAACTCAGATATATTTCAGGTGTGTTGATGTTACTTTTGTGTGTGTACCACATGCTTCTTTAATATCAATATCTTGCCCAATGAGTTACTTTTTTTATTGCTTGTAAGCACCTTGGGGGTGGAATAAGAAAAGTAGCATTGCAGATTTGGAAATTTCAGGTGTGTTGATGTTACTTTTGTGTGTGTACCGCATGCTTCTTTAATATCAATATCTTGCCCAATGAGTTACTTTTTTATTGCTTGTAAGCACCTTGGGGGTGGAATAAGAAAAGTAGCATTGCAGATTTGGAATCTTATTTTACTTGACATTATTTCTGATCTTATTTCTTACATTAAGCTGTCCAGAAATAAAGGCTCTTAGTATATGTTTTCTGATTTGTTTTACAATAATTTTTAGATATGTTTTCTGTTTATTTACAAGCTAACAGTGAGATAAATCAGATGTTTTCTATGAATAGATAAATGAAATAGACAGAAGAGAAAAAACAGTAATATTATCATACCTCTGTTCCCTAGTTTCAAAAAAAACCAAGGGAGCACCAAATTAATTAATATCACAAGTCTTAGAATTTATGCTATTGATTGTGTGGTTGCATGACATGTTCTGCATTCAGAATTATTTACTTGCAGTGTAGTTAATTCCAAGTGGGATATTTTCAACACGTTTGAGTAAGATCTTTTTAATCCTTAACCTCTATTCTGCCCTTTTTATTTTTGTTCATCTTGGCAATGCTATTCTTAACGCTGAACATGTTTTAGTCATTATTTATTGACTTTACAAGAAACCATACAGTGCTGTAACACCTATTGTTATATCTCCTTCAACATTAATTTAAAAACAGAAAAAGGTAATTTGAAGAATGAATAACAAACAGACTGAATTTTAAAGTCCTGGATACAGAATTATATTATCTTTCCTTGACTTTTACTGAGAACACTATACATGTTTATTTTTTCTAAATTAAATTTTCTCACTTCCTCATATAACATGGTTTCAATTTCAGGTTCCTTTCTTATGACTATGCTTTATTTTGTCTTTGTTCCTTCTAAAGTATGGTACATAAAACTAGTGAATGTTGACACACTTTATTCTGTCCTTTCCATTAGCAATTGTTTTGGGTTTTGTACAGTGATGATACAAAATGAAAAAGACAGATGTCACACAAATCATTACACTGTAGAATAATAATGCTAGAATAAAGACAACTGCTAAGTGCTCTGGGCACCCAGAGGGTGTGGAAGAGACTATCAGCTCTTCCAGGAGTGCGTCGCTCATTGTTCTGGCTGGCTTCAGAACCGGAAACAGTCCTATTGCACATTAGATACTCAGTAAAAACTTGATTGATTCTTAAGAATTAGCTGGTTTGAAATTAAATCCAGATAAAATAAGTGTGATTTCCACACACACAACCTGTTGCTGTTTAAAGAAAATGAATTGGTTTGTAGATTGTTTTCACGTGGTAGTTCACTTGCACGTCTACTGCATATGTCTAAGAGGTACACAGAGTGTGTGGCCAGCGTCATCATCATCATAATCAACTAATGTTTGTTCTGTTCCCAGCCTGCTGGAAAAGAGGAGTAGAACATAGGCCTTGTCATCCGGGTGTGATAAAGAAATGGGTGTCATCCATAGTGTGATAAAGAAATGGCTGGTTGGGTTGGCCCGGTGGCGCACTGGAGAGTGCGCCGCTTGGGAGCGTGGCAGCGCTCCCGCTGAGGGTTTGGATCCCATGTGGAGACCGGTTCCCGCTCACTGGCTGAGCGC